TACCATATCTTGCTGCTGCAACAGAATACCATTGGCTGGGTAGCTTGTGAACAACAGAAACCTGTTTCTTACAGTTCTGAGGGATGGAAGTTTTAGAGAAAGGCACTGCGAAGTCAGTGTCTAGTGAGGGTCCCTCTTCTGGTTCATGGGTCCGTGTTATTGCTATAATCACATTGGCAGAAGAACATATGAGCTGTCTGAAGTCTTTTTTGTAAGGGCACTAATCCCATGAGTGAGGGTTTTTTCTTTTGTTGAACCTTCATGATCTGATTACCTACCAAAAGCTCCACCTCCTAAATCACCACCTAAGGAGTTAGGATTTCTAACAGTCTACCTAACTATACCTGCTCTTCTTCAGATTCTGTTTCCTCTGCCTTAGTTTAGGACTTTATTCTCATTGGGTTTGTGCAATGTCTGTCTCCCCAACCCACACTCTTTATAAAAGTATATGGTGGGGGGGATTTCCCCTTGTTTTCTGTGTGGATGCCTAAAATGCCTTCTTCAGGAAAGAGGCTGCTTTTTGTCAGAGAGATTTAGAAGTATCAAAGGAAAATACCCTGAAAAGAATTTCCTTATTTTCCTACAAACTACAATTCTGAGTTCTTAGAAAACATTTCTTTGCTTTATTTTTTAGGAAGCAAGTAAATCTAGGGCAAGAACTGAGTAACAATAATGAGGAAAGTGATCCTATCAAAGGGATAGAGAAAGGCTGAGACATGAAACTGAAATTACATAGAGCAGAGAATAGTAAGGGTAAGGCAAACTTCAACCCCTTTGTGGTTTGCGTGAGGTTCAAGTAATTAATGGTCTCTTAAATAAGAGACAAGTCAATGAATTTGTTACCATTTCAGAAGGGATTTGGAGGGCTATATTTGCAGGTAGTTTTATTGGAAAATTATAGAAATACATAAATTTTGAATCCCAGTTATGTCTAAAACGTATTTCTTTCTCTAACCAAAAAGATATTTAACATGAATGCAGCTTCTTTATTATATTTTATATGATATCATTTGTAGAGGTACCATAATAACATTTATGGAGTGTCAATTCTGTTATAGACACCCTACATTTTTTTAAACTTATTCCTCACAAATTTGTAAGATAGTTACAGATGAATATCCCAAAAGCATTAAATGATACTAGGCAGGTTAAAAATGTACCCAAGGTCACTGAGTTTGTATCTATTGGTATCAGGATTTCACATAAGTACTGTGCTATTCCAAAGCATCCACTGTCTCCGAGCATAAGCATACACTTTGGTATAATTTTATTATTTAAGTAAAAATCAACACGAAAATACATTATTTAGAGAAGAAAAGAAATGTGGGCTGGGGTAGTCAAGGCAAGATAAAAAAGAGTTGACTCTTGAGCCAATCTTAGGGGGAGATCAAGAGATGGTAGAGGTGTTTTGCATAATGAATAACATTGCATAAGGAAATAGTCTCTTACAACCGCCAATGTGGGCCTCATAAGAGATTGCTTTTTTGATTCATCTCTTTGGGACAAATGTTCCTGCCTGATTTAATAGAAATGATATTTTCTCTGCAGATACCTTTGAGCCATATTCTGAGATGCAGAGATATTTTGTGTTGGAACCAGCTCTGCCAGCATGCTTGAATAAGCAGAATTATTCCTCTAAGCTATCTGAAATGGAGCTGAGTTACCAATAAGCAAATCATAACACACAAGAATGGAAAGGACAAACATTTATTCCCTCCAACCCGTGCTTACATTAATCTGATTAATTAAAGCATGAATGAAAACTATTTACTTGTGCCTGTTGTAAAAGAGCAGTATTAAATTAGCTCTTCACCCTGGGAGACTCACTGTGATTGTTGGCTGTGGTTCTGTTTTAGCCTCATTGCTTTCTCATGTTTCCTACTAGTTGAAGCTGGGCCAGTGCGTAGCCAGGGAAGAGGCTTTTGCTTGTTTCACTGGTGACCAGATTCAAACAAAACAGAGGTTTTATATTGAAATTAATCTGGAAAGCTGTCATCAGGCAAGTCACATGGATTGTTAATCAACTTTCTCTCTGCTCTGACTAAAGGATCTGACCAGAACAACTGTAGAGGAGGAAGAGTTTATTTGAGGGCTCGTGGTTTCAGAGGTCTATGTTCATAGAAGGCTAGCTCCATTTCTCAGGACTGGAGGCGAGGCTGAACATGGCAGAAGAAGGTACTGGAGGGAGTTCACATCAGGATGATCAGAAAGCAGAGAGAAACTCTACTCTCCAGATACAAATAAAAACCCAAAGTCATGCTCCAATTGCCACCTTCTCCAGCCACACCCTACCACTTCAGTTACCACTCAGTTAATCCCTACAAGAGAATTAAACCACTGATTGGGTTAAGACTCCTACAACCCAATCATTTCTCCTTGGAACCTTCTTGCATTGTCGCACACAATGAGCTTTTGGGGGACACCTCACATCCAAACCATAGCATAGATGCCCCCAAGACAGCTACCCAAATGGAAGCAACAAAATGAGGACCATATTTTACTTTTCTGAGGATTTTTCCTGTAAGTTTTAGTTTCTACTTGGGTTTTATCTAGTCAAGTTTCCTCCAAAATTTTTATAAGTTTATTTCCAATTTCCTATCTGTTTACATTTATAGGTGATTAATCAGTAGAGATAAATTGTGTTTGTTGAATCAGTTGTAAAGAAGGATACTTTAAGATTCTTTGAAATATGTAAGAACTTGAAGAATTGGGCCAAAGTTGTTCATAAAATGACTTGGGTTCTGGCTTTGACTTTGCAATGTCTGTTTATGGCAATATTAAATATGGGAATGGGACTTAATATGATCTTCTGCCTTCCTAAATGAATCTTCAAGTTTTCCAAAGAACCAGAGAGAGTTGATATTTTTAATGCAGAAATCAAAGTAGTAAGGTGTGGAGAATTACTTATAATTGAAAGTAGCTTAATTAATTTAACTTATAAATAAATGTTTTTGACATTGAATGCCATAAAATTAAAAATATTTGGCCATAAGAAATTTTTTTGGCCAAAAAAGCAATATGTTCAGTCATAATTTTAAATATAACCTCAAGTTTGGTTGAAATACACACCAAGTTTATTTAAAGTTCAAATTAAATCAGATAGCAAGAGATGGCAAATGAAGTGTTATCTGGTAATTCAAAATGTGGGTTATGGTATTTTTCCAAATTTAGAACACTTTTTTTTCCAGATGATAAGTTTATAGAATATATGCTCTAATTGGGTGGATAAAGAGAATTTTATGGGGGAAAGTTGTATAAGTATACTCATGACTATACTTTGGATGTTTTCATACCTGAAAAACTTCTCTTAATCTCTTCCTTGCCTCCGACCTTGGGGGTTTTGTTAGTTATATCATTTTCTGTATTTGCTTGTACTATAAATGTATTCTGCTCTAACTACGGTCATCTTGGTTCTGTTTCCTTCTCATCTATTAGGAAATGAACTTCTTAAATCAGAGAATTTGCCTTATTTATGTTTTGGTACCTGCACTCAACACAGGGCCTGGTGATACTATCATATTGAAGAGATCTACCCAATGGTGTGGACATGCTTAGACATTTAGGATCCCCTTTACTTAAAGAGATAGGAAGGGCTTGAAATGCTTTCCTTCTATCTTTTGAAGTTCATATCACTAACACCTAGAGGTGCAAACCAGGTTAAGGAGAGCCCAGGAGCTATTTCTAGAAAAAAAACTTTTCTTTGATCTTTGCTCACAGTGTTAATAATACTTTGTTCAGCACCCACACTCTCAATTTCATTCCAGGTAGGACTCGTCTGCTCTTTGGCTTTCCAGAGGCACAGAAAAAAAGAAAAAAAAAAGAAGAAGAGGCTGCAATGGCAGAATTAAATAGATAATGATAATACACCATGACAATATCGTATGTCAGTGACAAAAGGGTTGTTATAGAACATAGCAGGCTGATAAATTCAAAATAACCTTGTAATAGTTGACTGTTTCAGAAATACCTTCACAAACATTTTTTTTCATTTGATTGATTCTTGTGGTAACCTTATGAGTTTGGGTGATGGGGGGAGCTATAATACTGGATCTATGCTTAGGGAAAAGAGAGCCATGAATCTGCTTTTAGGCAATTGGGGGAGACTTCATAGAGCCTCAATTCACCAAGTTAGTTTCCCAGACAGATAATTTTGAAGAAGAAGAAAAAAAAAGCAGGAGGGAGTGGCAACTCTGAACATAGATAACAGAATGAAGAAGAGAGCAGAAGGATGAAAATGAATGTCATGTTTAGGGATGTTTAGTAATACAGAAGTCAATGGTACCTGGTGGAAAGTGGGTGAAGATACACCAGCAGAAGCAAAATATTCAGGATTCATATCACAAAGGACATTTGCCATCTTATGGGGCTCAAACTTCATTCTTGGACAGTAGTGAATCATCAAGTATATTTTAGCAAGGAACATCTGTGATTAGTTCTTTCCTCAGTAAAAATTATTCAGAAAGTATACTTGCTTGTGATTAGAGCAGAAGCATGTAACTTTTTTCTGCTTCAGAATCTATGCTGTCCACACCAGAGATCCAATTTCATCGTCGTCTCCAAAGTGAAGTGCAATTCCCAACCTGCTAATTATAAATCTATTTTCTTCTTGCCTATCTTGATGAAAGTGATTGGGGCTTTTACTGTTACCAGGATAATCTCAGATACACTTTATAATAAAAATCATCATCTATTATCCCATTAAATGATGCTCATATTAAAATGATGCTTTTTATATTCAAAATATTTCTATCTTTTATCAGACAGAAATGATGATAGGGGAGAAGGCAGAAGACGAGCAATCAGAACACTAGGAGAGAAGCCTAGACTTATTGGCACATGGCAGAAAACCTGAATTTTGTTGCTGTAACCACAACTGCCATTATATTTGTCCCAACAGCAAAACTCCCACTCATATATTTTAAGCCTTCTGTGCTGGTACTCTGTTCTAAACTTACAAAGCTGGATGACTCCTAACTAACAAGTGTTAAAAATACTGACGGTAGCTTGGAGATTTTTTTTTTTTTTTTATTGTGTGGGTAAAGATTTCTCCTTCTTCAGAAAGTCCAATTGAGAAAGCATTTCATGCTTATTTCCAAGCACATACACAAATTTGGGAGCTGTGAGATAAATTCTCTGAAGTTATTTTGATTTGTGTTTTTCCCCTTTAGAATCTGTGACAAGACATACATTAAGTTATACGTGGTTAGTTATATTCCAACAAGAACTTCCCTAGTGGGGGCTGGAGGTTGAAGTGGTAGTCACTTCCACAAAACCAGGGTAGGTGAACTTCAGAGGACTTTCCTTTTATAATGAAAAAAATTACAGGCTAATATTTCTGATAGGATAATATTTCTGTAGAAAACTTGCCCCAGAAATGCTTCAAGGGAAAAAGGTTTCTTTTTCTTTTTCTTTTTTTCCCCCTTTTGGTACCAGGATTGAACTCAAAGGCTCTTCACCATATGCCTAGTCCCTCACAATGAGTGTAAGTGTTTTAAATGTCTTTAAAACTCTTCAGTAACAAACCTGTTTAATATTGAATTGCTTGTTCTCTACTGCCGTCTCCTTGCCTTGGTTCAGAATGTGGACATGAATGTCAGCCACATTCAAGGAAAGGGTGGAGGACAGCACCCTAAGAGGAGAAAGAATAGCAGATGGGTCTCTGATGACCTCTGAAGCAATCTTCCCACTTCTACAGGAGAGATAATTGTGTCCCATTTGATACTTTTCAGTTTCTTTGTTTTAGTGTCTGAACTTCTCTCCATTGTTATACTCAACAATGTTATTTTTATTTTTTGAAATTTTAAGTGACACATACTTGTTTATGTGGTACAATGTGGTACTTCAAAACATGTATATGATATGCAGTGATGAAATGAAAATATTTGTTTATTTATCTTTCCAAATATTTGTGTTCAGAACATTTAAAATCCTATTAGCTATTTTGAAATATACAATTGAGTATTATCAATCATAGTTAGCATCTCATAGAACATTAGTACTTATTTTTACTTTTATCTTGGCCTATATTGGCCATACAGACTACCTTAACTCATTAAGTGGAAAATCTCCCATAATAGTAATTAAAAAAATGAATTTCTACCAAATACTTTAGACAATACTGAGTATACCCAAGAATTCTTTTAAGTCTGATTTATGAGCCTACAATGAATTCCTGAAGAATGACTTGCTCTATGATTTTCCTCACTATTCTATATCTTCTGATTGGCACTACCATTACTAACTCAGGACCTAAATTCTCTCTGTCTAATGATTCTTCAGAATCCTTCCCTCAGTCCTGTAAGCTGGGCCAGGATACAAAGGATAGATAAAAGAGAGTGCGAAAGATCACATGAGACACTGTGGGTTTTCTTTCGTGGGGGAGTTCTGCAGGAAGTAACATCACTCTTGCTTAGCATTGTATTTGTAACTTTAACAGGTATTTTTTATTTATCTGATATTTTGTAGTACTGGGGATTGAGTCCAGAGATTCACATATGTTAGGCAACACTCTACCACTGAACCACATCCCCAAACCTTAATGTTGTATTTGTTGTAAAACAGTCACATGGTCCCAATTCACAATTGCCAGTGAACTGGGAAACATAGTTTAGGTGTGTATTAAGGAAGAAAACAAAATGGTCTGATAAGCCAAGCATCATGGTGCATGCCTGTAATCCCAGCAATTTGGGAGGCTGGGTCAGAAGGTTTGCATGTTCAAGGCCAGCCTCAGAAATTTAGTGAGACCCTCATCAACTTAGTAAGGGCCTATCTTGAAATAAACTATAAAAATATAAAAATGTCTGAGGACTTAGTTCAGCGGTAAAGCACCCCATGGATCCAAGAACCAGTAAAAGAAAGAAAGGGAGGAAGAGTTCAATGAACATAGAAAATTGTGCCTTCTACTTTGAAGTTTGAAACTTGTTGGAGATTCATGTCCTTAATTTAACTCATCCTAGCTGTACTTTCTGGAACTACACAAAGTGCTTCCACACAGAACAGTACAAAGCAATGAGACCACTTAGAGAAATCCCAATGAAGAATTGCCCATTCTTTCCATGGGTCAGGAAATAGTTGGTTTAGTCGGGGGGAAAAAAGCTGAATGGAGTATAAGGTAGTCATGTTGTTAGTTCTCTTTTGAAATGATGATTTTGTTAAGTCATGATTTTAGTCAGGATTCTTCAGAGAGATATAACCCATAGGAGCATGGGAGGGATGGACATAGGTGGATACATAGATACATAGACAAAGGAGAATTTGTTAAGAGAAGCAACTGATTCAGTCAAGGAGGCTGAGCACTTCCACAATAAGCCATCTGGAAGCTGAAGAGACAGGGAGCTGGTAGCATGGCTCAGTTAAGTTCAAAGGGTTAAGAACCAAGGAAGCACATGGGGTAAATTCTCAAGTCCAAGGCCTGAGAATCAGAGAACCACTGATGAGTCCCAGAATCCAAAAGCTACAGAGCCTAGAATTCTGATATCTCGAGGTAGGAGAAAAAGGGTATCTCAGCTCCAGAAAAGTAAATTTGAGTAAATTTGCCTTTTTTTCACCTCTTTGTTGTATTTGGGGCCTAGCCAATTGGATGATGCCCACCCACATTGCGTGAAGGAAGGTCTTCCTTACTCATTCCACTGATTCAAAGTTAATCTCTTCCAGAAAAACTCAGACACACTAAGAAATAATATTTTTGCAGCTATTTGCATATCCCATACTGCAGTCAAGTTTACACATAAAGCTAATAATCACACTTGCAGAGCTTTCTCTAAGGATCTGTTTCCCAATTTGTAAAATTATATTCATTGTGGTAAGGATATCTCATTATTGAAGAACCAAGGTGAATATAGGAGCCAACAGTTTCTACATAATACTCAATATAAGAAAAGACAGGGGAATGAATCTGACATAATTTTCCTATGTATATATGCGAATATGTCACAGCGAATCTCACCATAGTGTACATACACAAGAAATTAATTTTAAAAAAATCAACAACAGGTAAATGACAGAAAGATCAATAGAGGGAAGGGACAGAGGGGGAAGAGGTACTGGGGACTGAATTAGAACAAGATGTATTCGTGCTTTTATAATTATGTCAAAATGAATTCTAAAAAAATACCAACGAAAACTCAAAAGAAAGAAAGAACACATTTGACAACTCCAACAGGTGTTGAACCTCTTGTGGAATTTAAAGATTTTGATCTATCCATTGCCATGTAGTCATCAAGTTCTTATATTGAGCAAAAAAAGTTATGGTAAAAACAAACAAAAGTTAAAGATTTGAGTCCTCCTTCTTATTTGGAATCATTGTGAATCAATTGACATCCTTTTTCAGTATTCATCTTACAACTGAATATTACCACCTCTTTTCTTGTTTGTTCAGTGTTATTATTCATTGTTCAGCAATCTCACCCCAAGGTATTTATTCTTGTTTTGGGGTCATTCCTCCAACTGGGCCTTATCATCCTAGGAAACATAGAAAGCCATTGATGAATATCCCTTGACAGCTTCATCTTCCTCCTGGATGGATTCTTCTTGGAGGTTAATACTGATATCTTTTTTTTTTCTTGTCTCACCATCACATATAATCCACTTGTGTATAATAATGTGACTTAAATACCTGTAATAAACATGGCTAAGGATGCTACTTCTGATTCTTTTTCCTCTTCTTATTCCACTACCATATATGGAAAATCGTAACTCCTATTCGCCTTTTATCCAAGAAGAAGATGGGTTAAATCTCCAAATATGCATGAATTTCTCTCCATATATTCTGTTGACCTCAACTAGTGAAAAGGTGAAGATAAAAATTAGAAATTTAAATTATCCCTGGCAGCACAAAAGGACCCTCCTATGAACACAATCACAAGGCATCTGGAAAAGGTTTGATGAGGTATTTGCTCTGGAAAGTGTGGGTTTAATCAAATGTGGCTTGTTTTTTTCTAGGATTTTCTAGTTATTAATAATAAGTCACTGCTCATTTTTCCATCCTGTTTATCACAATTACTGATCTCAGGAATGATATTTGAGTAGATGTAAAGACATACTCACCCAGAGATTCAGCTGACTTCTTCTATGCTGATGGAGGCAAGGATGATTCCACCAGGCTGGAGGATAGTTCTCTCTCAGAAATATTATTCTCTGTCAATTTCTGTTTATCCAAGTAGCTCGTCCTGCTGAGGTAGTAATATTGACTCACCAACAAAATCTCCTTTGAAGCCTCAGTGCTTTCCTTCGGGTCACCCCCTTGAACTCAGCCTGTGTCACTCACTGACCTTGGCCCTATGCTTTATAGAAAGAGTTATGATATTATACTTGCACAGCTGTTGAGGACAAAACTGTTTTGTCCAAGGGTCTTCTATATCCCTTTCTGTATCACTGATATTATACTAGAATTTATATACTAGAAAGGCAATACTATTGCTGTTGATGGCATTCTACTCCTTTAAGGACATGTTTACATTAGCATTCTAATTTCCATCCTCCTCTCCATTTTAGCAGCTCAGTGACTGGCTACATGCTTCCAACAATGCTAATCCACTCAAATGATTCTGTATTGCCATTCAACTTTCAGAACATGGAGCTCCCCCCTGCAGTTAAATCAAAGGGAAAAATAATTGAGTCAGTCATTTCTATAATGACATACCTGTGACAATTAACTTGTAAAGGTCTATTTTGACTCATAATGTTGGAGTTTCCAGTCATAATAAATTGGTCCCATTGTTTTGGATCTGGGGCAAGATAGCACATCATGAATAAACTTTTGCCAGGAAACAAAAGAGAGGAAGGAGAGGGGCAGAGTCACACAATCCCCTTCAAAGGCACTCTTCAAATGACCTAAAGACCTCCCACTACTCCATACCTTTTAAAGGTTTCTTCACCTGCCAGTAGCATAATCTGGGGACCACGTCCTTAACATGTGGAATTTTGTGGACATTTAAGACACAAACTATAGCAATACGGATGCATATATGCTAGGTAAAAATGTATTTAATAGACTTGTGCTTATTTCTACATACATAAAAATCCAGGAGCATTGAGATAAATTTTCTGCAGTTTTTAGATATGTGTTGTTTCCCTTTGGAATCTGTGTATGGAAACTGTTACACAGTGTTCCACATCATTCTAATACTTCAGAAATGAAGCTGGGTGTATGTGCATCTCTACTGGCTCTATCTTCATCATCCAATATCGGGTGAATTTGCATTATCTCTTGATGCTGGCAGAACATTATGGTGCCAGGTGGCAAAATATGTTAATTATGTGGTATTTCATTTATAATTTTTTCTTCCCATTCTGATATCCTTTATCTTTTATGATTCACTAATTTGCCTGGCTCAGAATACCAGTGATCTACCAGGTGAATTCTAATCATCTGTGATTTCTCTACTCTGTCACTAATTCATCTCTGGTAGACCTCCCCAAAATTCTTTGTTGGTATCAATTAAGAACAGAATTATAGTTCTCTACCTTGTGTTCACTACCCCACTGAGAGGTGAAATTCTCAGAAGGTAAAATTAGGAATTTACCAAAAGTAGATTTCCCTCTGGAGTCTGCACCCAGTAGTACTCTACTATGAAGCTACAACCAAAGCCCTTGTTATTTTTAAACTTTGGGCCATGGTTTCATTAAGTTGCCCAGGCTGGCCTCAAACTTTCAATCCTTCTTGCTCAGCCTCCTGAATAGCTGGAATTACAGGCATTCACCACCACATCCAACCCCAAAGCAGTTTTTTTTAATTTAGCTGATAATTACTATTATTATTAATAATGATGATGATATACTTAGAAAAAAAAGAAACAATGTGAAATGGCTACCATAAGAACCATCAAAAAGAACATGGAGTTTATAATCAACCCTCTATTTATTAGCAGGATTTTTGTGAACACCTGGGGACCATGTTTTGCCACCTGGTCCAAGGGATATCAGTTTATCTAAGTGGCTCTTCATCTTGCCTGATGTAGTTGTTTGCTCTGGAGAAAGCACACCTCCTAATTAGTCAAGTTATAACAACTCAAGTGAGAGCTTGGAAGGGGGCCACCAGCCAGCACCAGTGTATTTCTCTTACCAATAAGATCCGTGAGGCTTGCAGCAAGTAGGAGAACTCCTTGTTGCTCAGTGGATCATGGGATGTTGCTCTATTGTAGAGTCACCTTCTGGGAAGAGAATGCCCTCTGGCAGGACCCTAAGTGTACGTGCTTCTCTTCTTTCACCACTCTGCTCTCCTCTCCCACTCTTTAATCTACTCACATTTTTTTCCCCTTCATCACTCTGGATCCTGTTTCTCTTCCTATATTAATCCTTCCATCCATTTCCTGTTCAGAAGGGACAAAATGAAGAGTTTTCCCCCAAAGACTTTGTTTCTCTTCCACTCCCACATCACCCTTTGGGTTCAGTTACTTGGTGAACAGTTGGAGCTCAGGAAAAAAAAGCACATGAATTTTAAAGGTCACTGGGATCATTTTCTCAGAGTTTACATTTTCCAGGTTTCAAGCAGAACTCAAGTAGAAAACGGACACTGACAACAGAGGTCCAAGTTAGATTCAAGATGTGTCTTTTACTTTGCTTCATTGTCTTCTTCTCTCATTAGGAAAAAAATAAAAACTATTTTACAGGCCAGTTGGAAATTCGATTAGATAAGTTATTCGAACTGTTTGGCACACCTTGGCACATAAAAAGAGCACAATGAACATGATCTATTGCTAACATTATTTGTAACTTCCCTCTTTCGAAGGATTATGGGAATTTTTCTGTTTGTCAGATTTTGCTTATGGAAATTGTATGTTTTCGCCTATTTTACCTCCCCTATGTTTCTTCACCTATCTTTTGATAACATACTAGTAAGTGTCAATAATTTATGTACTATTTGGAGCTAGTCTAATTAGCTACTCATATCAGTATTAGCAGCCTTTGAACATGGCATAAAAAAATCAGCATTTTCTAGTTTCTAGATCTGTGATAATCATATGATAATGTTTCAAGAGAAACATGAGACATGGCGTTCAACTTTAAAAAATTGGTGGTGACCAAAAATTGAAGAGGTTAACATAGTTTAATGTTACTACAATTGTATAAATTAAATTGTCCTTGTCAAATGGCAATTCACTGGAATTTGTTAAATGTAGATATTTTACATAAGAAGAAGTGATAAAAGAAAAATGTGAAAAATATTAGGCATATACTAGGAGCTTAGAGTTCCTTTATTTCCTGGAAAAGACAAATGATAAAAGAGTGGGTGAATAATACGTGATTTGAAAATTATAAAATTAAGTCTTGGTTAATGCCTACAACTTAATGAGAGTGAAATAAAGATGAAATGCATGCTTTTATCTTTACAAATTAAAATAATTTTGAAAATCAAATTGCAAAAACAAAAGTATAGACTTTATAATTGAATCAGTAAGGGAGAGATATAACATCAAGATATATTATTGAGAAATAATGCCATTGGGTTTTTGCTGCTAAAAATGACCAAGTGTTTTGGTTAGCTTTTCATCACTGTGACCAAAATATCCATTGAGAACAATTTAGAGAAGGAAAAGTTGATTTGGGGTTCACAGTTTCAGAGGTCTCAGTCCATAGAAGGCCAACTCTATTGTTCTGGACCCAAGATAAGGCAGCACATCATGGAGTAAGGGCCCAATGGAGAAAAGCTGTTAACTCGTAGCGGGGTAAGGAAATGGGGGAAGGGAAGAGAAGAGTAGAGTTGAGTTGAGTTAGGTGGCAGGAAGGACAATTCTTCTAGGGTATGTCCTCAGTGACTCACCTCTTCCATCCTCATCCCACCTACCTATAGTTACACCTAGTCAGTGCATTCAAACTAGGATGGACTGATTAGTTCATAGCTCTCAAAATCCAATCATGTTACTTCTGAATATTCTTACATTTGTAGGAGCTTTGGGGGGACATCTCACATCCAAACCATAATGTTCTATCCTTGGCCTCCAAAATCTCATGTTCATCTCAGAATTCAAAATGCATTTATTTTGTTTCCAAGAGTTCCACAATCTTAACAGTTCTAGCATTGCCCAAAAGTCCAGTCCTAGTCCAAGTCCAAAGTCTCACCTGAGACTCAAGGCAATCTCTTGATTGTGAGTCCCTGTATAAATCAAGAGCAAGTTACATATATACAATATACAGTGGTACAGATTAAACATTTCTACAACAAAAGAGGAAACAAGGGAATAAAAAGAATGGATGGAGCCAAAGAACACTGAAACCCAGCCAGGCAAATTGGTCTCATAACTCTGCCTGTAACTCTAGGTACAGCAACTAGGACACATGGCTGTGAGATGTGCTCTACAAAGGATTTGGGCAGCTCTGCCCCTTTGGCCATGCCAATTGTGCACATGGGCTGGCTTTCTTTTGGCCACCTAGTTCTCTCTGCAGACATCAGCTTTCTCTGCAGGTAGTCATATTACTAGTGTCTCTGAGTTCTTGGGGTCTCCATTCCAGTTTCAGGTTTACCTTTGCAGCTTCATAAATTGTCCTCTCAGGGAAGTCTGCAAGGACTCTGACACTGCTGTGTTTACCTGGCCTTCCAGACCTTATAGGATTTAAAATCTCAGACATATTAATAATACAGTAATTCACACACACACACACACACACACACACAAGCATTCCCGTGCCAAAGTAATAAAAGTGATATGCATAGCATATATCTGTGACATTCATTCACTATTTGTGCAATTTTGTTTCAGGTATGGTTTTGTGAAACAGGTTTGTAGAAGTGACCAAAATGAACAAATACCTCTTCCTTGATGAAATTTTTATCTTCTTCACAGGAGGCAAACAATAAACAAAATATTAGGTTGCCTCAGCATACAAGTGAAAAATTACTGGGGAAGGCAGATGTGATGTTAGGCATCAGGTCCAGTTCCTTTGAGGGTGAAGCTATTAGCCATGACCAGAAAAAGGGAAGTGAGCCACAAGCAGCCCATATTCTGGCTAAGAGATCAAATACTGGATACTTCCTGAGGATGGAGAATGCTTGACATGTTTGAATAACAATATATGTGTTTTTTTTTAAAAAAAAAGAATAGCTGAAGTAAAGTGAATGACAGCAAGAATAACATCAGAAACATAATGAGGCTTGGATTACACAGAATACTGTAAACATTTGGTAGAGTTTGGCTTTATTCTGAGGGACATAAGCAGCCACTGGAGTTCTGAGGAGAGGGTTATGTTATATATCATGCAGTTTAATAGAATTTTTCCAGTTGCTATGTCACTAAACCCTACTGTCTTCAAACTGAGATAGTGTATCCCTAGAAGCCTGTAGTAGCATATCTGAAAAACACAAAATTCCCGGTAATCTAGGCGCATATTCCTAATGCACAAATTTGCCCTCAAAATTATGGGGGGAAATAATTGCTGTATTAAGAAAACTGTTCAAATATTCTATAAATTATTGTAAAATTCTCATGATTTTAAAGATAAAGTGAGACTTTTTTAAACTTTTTTTTTGAGAGAGAGAGAGAATTTTTAATATTTATTTTTTAGTTTTCGGAGGACACAACATCATTGTATGTGGTGCTGAGGATCAAAACCGCGCCGCATGCATGCCAGGAGAGCGTGCTACCACTTGAGCCACATTACCAGCCCTAAAGTGAGACTTTAATGATATTTTATGTTTGTTGCATCTAGTGACCATCTATTTTGGAGAAAAAAAAATTAAAAACCATCATAATTGATGTGCCCCAAAAGCTTATAACAATATTCTATGTTATCATAGAAAACTTATAAGAGGAAATAGTTGAATGCATATGTGAAAATACTTTGACATAGAAAGTCACTTTAATTATTTACTTGCATAATGTTAAGAGCATTTTTTTAAAAAAACATACAAATATATCTTAATAATATTGTAGAACTAAATGTAAGGTGAGGAGGTAGTGCATGGTAGAACATTTGCCTCATGTGTGCATGGCCCCAGGTTTAATCCCCAGCACTGAAAAAATAACAAGGTAAAACTTGAAAGGCACCAGGTTTATTCTTCTAACTCACTTATTAACTAACCTCATAAATTTCTGAATAATGAACTTTGGTTTTCTCATTTATTTCAATGAGAGCACAATCTAATGTAACACAATCTATGTGATATAATACCAATAAGTATTAGAATTAGAATACCAGCAAGGAAGAAATTAAATATAAAAGATTTACAGAAAGTATTACTTGCAATCATATTTTTATTAAGTAGACTCCTCAGCATTATGACTTCCGCTTTATGCACATGCATATTTTGTGTATATTTGTATATTTGATGATATTAACAATTCTGGTAGATCTAGACCATCTAAGAGTAAAGTTTACATAACACTTGGGGAAAATATTTCAGACCACTATATCACTTAGAACCCTCTGAGAGCTGAAATTGCTTTTTCAGCACCGTGGACAGCATCACTGAGCTGGGAATTAAAGTAGGAAAATTTTTAGTTCATATTCTTCCCTCCACATGTACATGGTATTGTCGAAATAATGGCAGGAAAATTTCCATATTTTTATTTCAAAATTTTAAAAGTGATCCAGACCTTTACAACTGATCATAGTTAATCATACACACACACAAACACATACACACACGCATCATATGCGCACTGAAACTGGTTTTACAACTGTATTATTTACTATAATTTTGCTCCTCTCCTCTTAAGAAGAACTAAATTCACACTATAGTATACTTCAATTATTAAGTTTCATAAAGCATATAATTTGATATGTACAATTTTTGAAGTGATATATAAAGCATGGATTGAATAAAGAATTTCAAATTTAAGTTTTAGTCACTTCATTATCCTGCATTAAACTTTAACCCTCCAGGATTTTCCTCAAGCAACAGCACTACCAACAAAACACAGAACTTCACCAGTAATAAAACTTATACTTCTACAAAGAAATAACAACAAGTTTAACATCTAAAATTATTTTTGTAGTAGATACATAATGCTTTCTAGATAGTATATGAAGTTAAATAAATCTTAGGGTAAGCATTTACTTTTTAATAATGTTATGAAAGCTTCCATTTAGTTTAAGCAAAATATAAATGCATTTAACTAAACCCTCAAAGCAGAATTATGAATTTTTAAAATTCACATTGTAGATATTCTTGAATGTTTGATTTATAGTTATTTAGGGTAACTGATTTAAAATACAGTGGAATTAAGGGCTATATACTATTCAATCATACTTGCTAAATGCTGCATTGCCAAACTTGAATTAAAATGGTTCCACCTGTGACCAGGAGATGGCGCTGTCATGCAAGATGCTGCCTTTATTTATTTATTTTTTTATTTTAGCATGCTGTTTTCTAACAGACAGTGGGTACCATCGAGTGAGTGTCAGAACAGAAAGCTAAGGCAGAAGCAGGGAGGATGCTGTGGTCGCCCTTTCTTGTTTTTTCTTCTTTAGTGAGGCTAGAACACATGTGAGATTTTGCTTTCTGCTCTAGTCAAAATTCTAAAGAACTGCATTGGAGACTATTATATTCAACACATACATGGATTCTGTGCTATGATTTGCAATTCCTTTCTTTCAGGTAAGTCATCATGATTCTATTTTTAACCTATAAAATGGATTGTTATCTGTGTTATTAATGGCATTTAAAATAAGACGTGCTTTGTTATCTTGTATTCAGATCTTAAAGATTCGAAAGCTATAATTCTAGCTGTTCTGCATTCAAATATATTCCTAGGCTAAATTGAGCTCTGACTATGACATATTGCATCTTTAATATTTGTCTGGCTTCCCAGACTTTAGCATCCATCCATGGCTATATTTGCTTACCTTTTAAAGGTGACGCTATCAAAGTGAGGGATGGATCTTCCTCTCACAAGGGAAATACTGCTTCTTAATGCGCTGAACAAATTGTAAAGATGTAATGAAGCAGATCAACATGGCAGTGGCTCTGCCAAAGCTCAGGGCTGAGCCGTCTGATAGCAGCCTCAGAGGCATGCCAACATCCTGAGCCCAAAGGCCTTTTGAACAATTCTTGCTGGTATGATGTTATGGATTGTTTATGCTTTTCTTTCTGCCTAATAGAAACAACACGTAAGTCATTTCTCCCACCTGAATGAAGATTTATGTAATGTGTTTAATAGACTTGGAACGATGGCACAGAGCTTCCCCCTCCCCCAGTGTGACTATAAGGAGTAAATTGAAAATAAATTAATTGTACAGATGGGTTTTCCTTAGATTTTAGTGAATTTATGATGCTAGGATTTTGGCCATTTAGAATAGTTGATGTTGCAGAAGGTGTTCACATTTGGAAATAATTTTGGTCATGTGATATTAGCTGTGCTAAAGAGTGGAATGACTCAGGAGGTGGATATTGCATGCAACAGCCTTGCTTCTTTCTGAGATTGCTCATGATTTAAGTCCTTTTATTATTATCAGAATAATCACAAGAAACAAATACAGAAATCCCACATTTAAAAGTTACTGGTTATTCATTTAGAGGCATTTTAATTCAATCTTTTAAATATTTAAACTGTTTTCTATAACAAATTGTTAAATGCTTCACTCCCTCCTCTCATGGGAAAAGATGTGTGTGGTGCAGTGTGGGGTGTGTGTGTGTGTGTGTGTGTGTGTGTGTGTGTGTGTGTGTGTTGATGATGGAAAGGGTGGCAGGTGGCGGGGGTGCATAGGGATGTTTCTATCTCAGTCATGGCTTTCCTATAAAGAGGTAGTTGTGCTGTGTCAGAGGTTGTGAAAGCCATGGGGAATGATTTTATGGAATGATTTAAGCCAAAGAGAAAGAAAAATCTATTATTTTAGTATATGGATTTTATAAAGACTTTTCATTTCCACATGGCTCTATCTACATGGGTATTTTAGAATCACAGATTTTCAAAAGCATTTATCCATTTATCATTTTTTAAAAAGCAACTATGGCTGAGACATTAGGTAGATTTCACATTGAGTGGATTTATGCATTTAGAGTCACATATTAAAATCGGGCAAGGCTAGAAACTGACTGGCAGTTTTTCAGTGTTTTCCACAAAACCAATTTACCTTTACTGTGAACATATCTAAATGGCATAGGTGTATTGATATTGACTGTGTGTGTGTGTGTGTGTGTGTGTGTGTGTGTGTATGTGTGTGTGTGTGTGAGAGAGAGAGAGAGAGAGAGAGAGAGAGAGAGAGACATTTTGGGCAAATTCTATAAAGTAATTTCAGTGTACATGTTGCTCAATGACATATCATATGCAGTGTTAAATTTTCTTGGGTACTTGCCAAAATATCCAAGAAAACTAAATTATTGTGGTGACTGTTTTCTTGGTGTTCTCTTTTCACTATTAAATTAGGTATACCGCATTTTTTTTTTGTACCAGGGATTGAATCCAAAGGTACTTGACTGATAAGCCATATCTCCTGCCCTTTCTTATTTTTTGAGACAAGGTCTCACTAGGTTGCTTACAGTCTTGTTAAATTGCTGAGGCTAGCATTGAAACTGAGATCTTCCTGCCTCAGCCTGCAGAGCTGTTGAGATTACAGGCAGGCCCACCATGCCTGGTTTAGGTGTGTCATTCTACCCCATGCCCATATGAAATAGATGGCCTTGTACTAACTCACAATTCTGATACTTCTCCTTGGGAATAGATTACACATATAGATTTATCTATTGACACAAGACTATTATTTCATGTCCTGGCCTTCTCTTTCTTTTTCACTTTATAAGTACCAATTGTACTCTAATTCTTCAATTTCTTGAGAAAAGAAGGGAACTAAAATGTGTCGCTTCTGTATGTAGTATTTGTGAGGTGTCATATGTTGCCAAGAACTGTCCATAGAAGAAATTGAGAAATAGTCATGGAGTTTACATCAAAGAATTCAACAGGAAAATATACATATATAGAAAGCATTGTAGCTGCAAATAATATAAACACCAAAATAAGGAATAAAGAAAGGTGAGAACGTACATGTAATCCAAATATGAGGGCTTGTCTTACGTAAAACATTTTTTTCTACTTAAATCAGATGGTTCCTCTGAAAAGTTACCCTCAGATTCAGAGTAAAAGTAGTCCTAATTTCTATCCACGAGGATCTCAGAGCTCAGAGAAAAAGATTTTGTGAGGATATGAGAATGAAATTTGATCTTTAGGACTGAGTTGGATATAAATAAACAAAAATAGAAAATTGCTCATTTGGGGTATAAAGGTGAGGAAAGCAAATTACAAGAAAATGGAGAATTAGAGGGCAGTGTATAGGAAAACGATAGAGAATGACAGATAATCCAATTGGATTGAAGGGATTTGCCTGTTTGTTTTTGTTGTCATTTCCCTTGGAGCATCAAAAGAAAGGATTTCAATGTTGTGCATGTGACATACTGACACCTGCTTCCACACAAAGGTAGTCTGTAAGAAGCTAAAAAGTTTATGTCCAGAAATCAGATGTGAAGTTAAGGCTGAAAATATGTGTTTAAATGAAGTTATGTGCAAGAATTATGACTCATAAAGGCACATCTAGGGGGAATAAAAGTGAAGTGAGATGATGGGGTATGATCTGAAGATTTGGGGAGTAAAGGGAAACTAGAAACCATGTAATTTATGTGTAGAAAAATAATGGCAGAAATGGGTGTCATAACAACGTCAGAGAAGGCAAAAACAGGTAACTCGAATGCAAAAATGAGGATCTGCGACAGTAGAAAACCCATAAAGGAGATGATTAATAAGAGCATAGGACAGAGATGAGGGACTTAGTATTTGAGAAGAGACTTAGTAGACTGGCAGAGTATGGAGCTCTAAGGACTAAATGGGAAATGAGACAGTTGGAAAGTATATTTTAACTTTTAGAAAGTTTACCTGTGACAGTTAAGAGAGAATATTTTACCAGGTACTATGGGGGGGGGACACTGGATTTTAGTTAAGATTAGAAAAAATTTGGCCCCTTTGTAGAGTAAGGATGTAAAATCAGTAGAGAAATTCTGAGGAAAGAAAAAGTCTTTAAGCATTAGTCTTAAAAGAGTTGGGAGAAGAAAAGACTTCAAAATTTGAGAGAGGAAGGAATGGGTGATGATAGAGAAGAAAGTTGGTGTAACTCACTTTGAGTGGCTTGTTCTTGGAAATCAAGTCTTTGTAAGATAAAGTGTTTAAATCAGTTGGTTCCTCACAAAAGGCTATTTGCCACATATGGACTTTCTGGAAGAAATAATTAATCCCCAGTAGCAAAACACTTTCTCCGAGGAGCAAGTGTAGTGATATTAATCCTTGAACTGAAGACAAATAATGGTGTTTCTTGTTAAGCTCATTGTACATACTTAACTTATCTATTTCTTATTCGGAATGACCTGTTTATAAACAGCTTCTATTTAAAACTTGCATTGCACCAACACATATCAAGTTTGATTATTAAAGGCTGGTTTGCTGGCATTTGGATAACTCCCTCAGTTTCATTAGTGCTTTCACTGGTATTTTTATAGAGAGAAGAAAGTCAAGGTATCATAAATGTTCTTTCCTTAAGGAAGTCAAGTCCATTGTGCAGCTTCCTATCAGATGGTCTTTTTTCTCTTTTCATTGGTAGTTTCAGAATCCTCACTCGTCTTTCCTAGAGCTGATCTCTAGGGATTCTCCTGTACTCACAGGTACCAGAATGGCAACGTGGATCCCTGAAAAAGGTGCAGGTGTTGATGAAGAATCCCAGACCCCATACGGGAGCCTTCTGAAAGAGCTGTTTTCTCAACTCAGGCAAATGCAGTTCAGTTTAGACTTGGTTGAATATAAATATGACATCCTTCATTCCAGAGCTGACTGCATCCCACTGTCTGGTGAGCCAGGCAGGTCAGAGTGACAAGGGCTGAAGAAGGCATGCAGGTGGCAGTGTGGGCACCAGTGGCCTCTCTTCCTTTGGGGTCAGCCCTAGACAACATCATAAAGGCAATGTCCCCATGTCCTACAAGTGTCCTGTTCTTTCTTCCTGTCCTCCCCTGGAGACCCCTGGGTATTCTTGCAATTACTCATTCAGTTTCCAGATATTATGTGAAAGAATCTTTGTCTAGTTCCAATTCCTAGTAAATAAAGTAAGAAAGAATTCAGTTTGTACCTTGCTCTAATTCTTATTAATAGATTCAGATTATTATTGCAAAGTGTAGAATTCATAACCCAATAAATTACAGTATTTTGATGTCTTTGTCTTTTTAAAGCAGTGGGATGGACTTTTTGGGTGTGTGGATGGAATGCCTGCTGACTTGAAATGGAAACACTAACTTTTAACTCAAATTGAATTCCCTTAACACGTGCTGCACGCCCACTGGAGGCTCCTGAGCCACGCTTGGCACTAGAGCTTCCTGGGCAAGTGCTGACCATGCGGCAAACCTCGGTCATCGCTTCTCAGCTTGGAGCACTTTCAAAAGCTCCAAATAGCACATTTGAGTTTGTTGTTAATTCCCTTTGAAAAATATCTATTTTATAATGTTATAATTTAAATATAGGAGACAGAAAACACAAGACAGATCTTAGAATAATCGCTTTCAGCTTTTTCTGCTCTTGAAAAATATGCTAGAAAGTACACGTCAGGGTCTTCTAAAATTTTCTAATGAAAACTTTTTGTAGCCAAAGTCACAAACACTTTTAATATCAACTCCAAGCCACTTTTAGGTGTTGCCAAAAGAAAGATGCACTACTTTCCCTGATGTTATCTCTTTTGCTCTATACATTATTAATACATTTTACTCAGTGTGTTTAAATAATGATGATAGTTACCGATAAGTTTATTTCAGAGGAAAGCCAATTTTGTAAAAGACTCAAGATTTTTAAATACATACTTTGCATTTTAAAATATTATTGATATGAATTTTGCCAACAGTTTCGTCACATGCCTGTTATATCTAGAACACAGTTTACATTATCTCCTCTAATTTTGTTTGAATATACTGAAAACAAAGTTCATGAAAAAATGACTTGCTTATGTTGGCAAACGATCTTGCTTAAGATTCAACAAAGAAGAATAATTATAATTTCAATTAAGCAAATGAGATTTTTAATAATCAAAATGAAATTTGTATTATATTAATTTTAAGGAGCATCAAAATTTTATGTACATTTTTATAATAACAATGAGCCATCATTGGAAATAGAGTACTGCTTATTGAAATATTATATCTGTGTAGGAAAGATGACTTGCATGAAAACCATGAGGTGAAATTCTGTCAAAACTAAAAAATAAATACTATTTGCTTATCTCTGTATAATATTCCCACGTTAATGTCACCTCTTCTTTATTGAATTTGGATTTACAGTAGTAGAAGACAAGTAGAACCAGAAGCAGAGTTGCAGT